ATGGTTCAAGAATCGTCTGGTAGTACCAAAGGTTCTCGAATTGCGGCGATCAATTCTTGAAGAAGCACATGCTTCTAGGTTATCTATTCATCCGGGAAGCAACAAAACTGTACCATGACTTAAAACAAAGGTTTTGGTGGACCAAAATGAAGATAGAAATTGCAAGGTATATAGCAAAGTGTGATACTTGTCGAGAAAGTGAAAGCTATACATTTGAGGTATCTTTGGAGAATTACAACCATTACCTATTCCACTTGGAAGTGGGAGGATATAAGTATGGACTTTATTGTTGGTCTACCCAAGACATCAAAGGGATTTGACTCAATATGGGTGATTGTGGATCGACTAACCAAGTCATCTTTTACATTTTATTCCGGTCCGAATACATATTCTCTTGTCCAATATGCGGGATATATTTAGCAAGAATTATGAGCCTACATGGAGTACCAAAGACCATAGTGTCGATAGGGGGTTACAGTTTGTCTCCAGTTTTGGAAACAATTGCATTCTTCATTGGGTACCAAGCTCTGATAGTCTTGCTTATCATCCACGGTGATGGACAAACCGAAAGAGTCAATCAAGTACTTGAAGATATGTTAAGGTGTTGTGTCCTTAATTATTCCAACAAGTGGGACGAATGCTTACCTTTGGTGAGTTCTCATATAACAATAGTTATCGGGAAAGCATTAGAATGGCTCCATTTGAAGCACTCTATGGTCGTGAGATGCGAGAACATCGTTGAGTTGGTGCGAGCAGGAGAAAGAAGATTCTTTGGAGTTGATCTTGTGAAAGAAACAGAAGACAAGGTTAGGCAAATACAAAGTAATTTGAAGATAGCTCGATCCGACAAAAAGAGTTATGCGTGATAAACGGCGTCGACCATTGACGTTTAACAAAGGGGACTTTGTGTATCTTAAAGTATCACCAATGAAGGGAGTTACTCGTTTTGGTGTTAAAGGCAAGTTAGCACCTCGATATCTTTGGACCATTTCAAATTTTGAAAAGATATGGAAAAGTGGCCTATCGCTTGAAATTACCGGAACATCTATCGCTGATTGCATGATATATTCCATGTTTCTCAATTGAAGAAGTGTCTCCGAGTGCTGAGCGGAATGTTGAGATTGAAGGGTAGGACTTGAATCGATTTGACTTATTCGAGAATATCCTATCCGAGTGTTGGATCAAAAGATCGTGTTACTCGAAGGAGGACAATAAAGTTCTACAAGATACAATGGAATCAACATTCCGAAGAGGAAGCTACTTGGGAATCGGAAGATTTCTTGCTAGAAAAGTTTCGAGTTTCTTGCATCATTATAGAATAGAATAATGTTAGTTGAGCTCGGTTACTACAAATTGTGTTTGGTAAAAGAACCTCGGTTGTTTTATGGAAAAGTTCGGATGTTTTGGATTAACACATTTCCTTTTCCATTACTTACTCTATGGCTTTGAATCTCGGGGCGAGATTTCTTTTAGGGAAAGGATTGTAACACCGGGTGTTTTAAATACTAAAACTTGCCATGACATCATATGCATTGCAAAAGCATCTGGGCATATTGAAAACTTGGATATGCATTTACTAAAACAAGTTTACTTTATGTTGTATGAGTAAATTGTATTGGTTGAATCAAGTTTGAAATACTTGTATTGGTTTGAAATTCAAAAACCCCGCTTTTGACATTTAAATCCTACCTGAAAAATCCATTTCAAAATCTAGATGTAATTAGGAGATGGTTATAGAAGCAAAGTTGTAGAACTTTCAATTTTGAACAACTTTTGTTTTTGGAGATTTTTGAGTTGTTATGAAAATTTGAGAGTAATTTGTGAATTTTGGCGTATGGCAAACTTGTAATTTCGATGAACAGTGTTCACCGCTTATGCTTCTACCGCCGTGAGCTTGGCTTGCTTCGATCAGCAGCAGTGGCCGTCTGGGCGTCGCGCTGGCGAGGGAAATGGTTTCGTCGTGGCTTCCTTGAGTTTCCTGGCCATCCTTTTTAACCAGAGCCGTCGCCGTTTGCCCCTCCCTTTCCTCTGTTTTTCGATCATTTGCCGCCGCACTCGTCGTGGCTTCCTTGAGCTTTTAACGCGCTATAAGTACCAAGACGTCGTCATCGTCGTTTTTCTTCCTTTGTTTTCACCACCGCTGTTGTTGCCATCTCGGTAAAGGCCGTCCTAGTTCCATCTTTTCCTTGCGAATCCAAATTATGCCACTAGCCTTGGTCGCTTTGAAATTGCCGAGAACTTCATTGTCTCGTTTTTCTTCCTCGAGGTCAACAACTTCACCGCTGGGCGTGTCATCGTGGCGAGCTTTTCGGTGAGCCGTTATGCATGTCGGTGTACTTACGGTTTCATTTCGATCTTTGTAGTCTTTAGTCGGTTGTTGTTTACTCATTTTGATCACTGCAGTCGCCGGTTCTCCCTCACCGATGATCTTTGCTCCGCATAGTTCACCGTAGTGGTCGGGTAGTTCACCATAGTGGTCGGAGAGTTTACCATAGTGGTCGGATAGCTCACCATAGTGGTCGGAGAGTTCACCGTAGTGGTCGGATAGTTCACCATAGTGGTCGGAGAGTTCACCGTGGTGGTCGGATAGCTCACCATAGTGGTCGGGTAGTTCACCATAGTGGTCGGAGAGTTTACCGTAGTGGTGGGATAGCTCACCATAGTGGTGGAGAGTTCACCGTAGTGGTGGGATAGCTCACCATAGTGGTGGAGAGTTCACCAAAGTGATCGGTGCTAAGCGTGGTCACATCGATTTGGGATATGGTTTGGTTAGTTTGGTTTGTAATCAGTCTTCTGCGAAGAAAAATTGTATCAATTTATTAATTTTTGCATCCATCATCGAGCATCATGTTAAACATGGCAATGTTACTACGTGTAGTAAACGAAGGTGAACACGTGGTAGTTAATCAAGTTGCGGAGGAGGTTGATCTGCATCTATTGAGGTCGGATCGAAGACTTGTGAAACGTCGCGAGCCGGACTTTTCCGTCAACGAAGGCAAGCCCGGATGCATATAACCCTACCTTGTATTTTACAAATTGGTTTCGCTTTTTGCTTTTCAATACGCATTAAGTGATTAGAAGTCAAGTGGAAACCTAATTGTTGCATTATCAACCTTGTTGTTCCATATCTACCTTGTTACACGTTTAAAATCGTATATGCCTAGTTATGCTTAGCTCTGCTTAAACCGATCAAAGTTAGGTGATTACCTGTCACCTGTGAGTTTTAAATGGAACTTTGGTTACTTATGTTATCATGTGATATGGTAATGTGGAGTAATAAATCTAGACCGGACGGACTCGGTGTGTGTGAGCCACAAGACACAGTAATGTCTTGTGGCGGGTTCTTTCACTTTATGTCGATTAAGGTCCGTATGGTTGGTGAACTGCGTGCGGTGAGACTTTGTAGTACTAACCACATACTCCGTAAGCCTTAACTTGGCTATTCTATTACGAGAATGGCTACTCACAAGACCGGAGTGGAGAGATGGCGGAATAGCGTGTACCCACGTGGCAATGGGCCGGAGTGTGGAGTAGTCTGTATTCTCGGGTGGCGCGGACTGTTCTTGTATAGAGGATCCGAGGGTAGGTTGGTATATGTAGGTCGGGGACCTACATATGTCGTGTGGTCTGGAATTCCCAATTTGGGTTTATAATCGGTTCAATCGTCGTTGCTCCTCGGTTATGGAGACTCACTTCTCATTCATCATCGTAGTATTAATAATCGGAACTCGAGAATGGTTCGAGAAAGTGTTGGATATGAAGTTTCATGATCTTAATACGGATCGTGTCGACTTTGTATATGATCTTATGAGATTTTAAATATTGAACACAAAGAATTTTGTTAAAGTGCTTTTCACGCAAAAAGAACTTTGATTATTGCTAAAGCCATACCTTGAATCCACGAGCTTTGCATTCACGAGTTTTATCGGTTTTATTTCGGTTAAGTCTTGTTGAGTACTTTCGTTACTCGGGGTTTGTTGACCCTTGTTGCAGGAGAGGCTCATGAGCGATCTGTTTTGATCGTCGTCTTTGCATGACCATTGTTCGATCTTGATGATGATAAGTAATGTGTGGCCCTTGGGCGAAAGTGGCCCGATATTTGTGTGTTTTGTAGTATATTATAATGCCACTCCCTACTTTTGGTTTGTATTAATAATCGAACTTAGTTTGTAAGGTTTGAAATAAATGTTTTGTAAACTAAGTTATTGTAAGACTTCCATTGATTTACTCGGTGTAGATATTTGAATAAATGTTGTAATCTTGCAATAACTCTGTAATGTGATCCCGCTTTCGGAAATCGTGGATGATTCGGGGTTCCCATGGACACCCGACAGTCTTCTTAAGTTATCGGTAACATATGCATAAATGTCAAAGGTCGTTGGACGTTGATGGATGCATGTGGGCCCTATAATTTAGGAGGTTACGCCACACTTAACGACTTAAAATGAAAAAACTCAAAACTAGAAAGTTGTAGATCTCGTCGAGATCTATAATTTTATATAAAAAATATTTTCATTTAATTCCATAAAAAAATATGATGATTTTTCTAAGATATATTAATCATATCAAATCATATTTTTTTTGCGGAATTAAATGAAAATAATTTTATATGAAAATTATAGATCTCGACGAGATCTACAACTTTCTAATTTTGAGTTTTTTCATTTGAAGTCGTTAAGATGCTCAAAAAATTAATAACATATTTGAACTTAAGGGCATTTTCGTCTTTTCACTTTTCTGCAGTAGCTTGAGCGGCGTTAGAGTCCAATCGACGGAAGTAGCATAGAGGACCCGAAAAAGTTGGAGTAGTGGCCACCAAGACCGCTGAATTTTTTCAGGCACATGAAGATTACGATCTTTTATAATGGCGGAAGGAAAAGTCTCGAGTAAAAACCGAGGGTGAGGCACAAAAAAAAAAAAACGAGGGTGAAGCGTGAAACCGCGCCGGCTTCACCACGGCAAGACGCCGGAGGAGACTCTTGTTCGCTTCGCTCGACGAGATGGCGTGTGTTCCGCGGCCGTCTCCGGTGCCCACCCTGCTCCGCCTCCTCTCCTCCCACACCTCCTTCTCCGCCGCCGCCCACGCCGCCCTACTCAAGTCCTGCTCCCTCTCCAGCCCCGTCCCGATCGCGGCCACCGCCCTCCTCACCGCCTACGCGAATGCCGGACTCCCGAGCGCCGCGTCCCGCCTGTTCGACGAAATGCCCGCGAGGGACGCCGTCGCGTGGAACGCGCTTCTCGCCTGCCTCGTCTGTCACGCGTGCCCCGGGGCGGCCGCCGCGGCCTTCCGCGGCATGGCCGCCTCCGGGCTCCCGCCCACGTCCGCCACGCTCTGCACCCTACTCAAGGCGTGTGCCGCGTCGCGTGCCGCGGCCGCCAGCTCCACGCGCGGGGCGTCGTCTCGTGCCACGCCGACGCCGACGTCATCATGGCCACCGCGCTCGTCGATCTCTACATGAGCTGTGGTCTCGTCGAGGACGCCATGAGGGTGTTTGTGCTCACGAAGTGCCCAAAGGATGCCGCCCTGCACAATGCTCTTCTCTCAGGTTGCGTGGAGAACGGCTGGTTCAGCGACGCCTTCTCGATGCTGAGGCGGCAGATAGAGCTCAATGGGATCTCGCTGACCTCTGCTCTCACGGCCTGCGCAGCGACAGCCAACTTGGCTTATGGTATGCAGGTGCATTGCAAGGCTCTCCGTAGTGGGTTTGATTCTGACACCATTATATGCAATGCGCTTATTGACATGTATGCAAAATGTGGGAGGGCAACAGCTGCGCGTATAGTATTCGACCGGATGGCTACCAGAAATGTGGTCTCCTGGTCAAGTATGATTGACGCTTACGGTCGCCATGGACATGGTGTGGATGCTTTGGATTTGTTTAAGCTAATGGAGAAAGCTGCACCAATGGTCTTGCCAAATGCTATCACATTTCTGGCGGTTCTGTCAGCCTGCGGACACTCTGGTCTGGTGGATGAAGCTCAGTCCATGCTGCATTTGATGAAGAGCAAGTACGGGATTGATCCACAACCAGAGCACTACGCATGTCTAATAGACATGCTAGGACGTACAGGCCGTATTGACGAAGCTTGGGATCTATATTGTAGTCTAACTGCAAGTTGAAATAAGTCTTCCAGTGCCGTCTGTGTCGCGATGCTGAATGCCTGTAGAGCAAACATGGATGCTGTAAGAGGAAAGAAGGTGGCTGTGCGCATGCTGGAGGTTGATCCACGAAATCCTGGGATTCATGTGTTGATATCAAATTTTCATGCTGCTATGAGACAATGGTCTGAATCAAATGAATCGCGGAGGATTATAGTGGACAAGGGTCTCAGGAAAGAAGCAGCTAGCAGTCATGTCTCTTTTGGCTAAAAACTAAATGGGCACATATCTTGAAAACATTTGCCACAGCGTGGCAAAGGTTGGTTTAGGATACTGTGGTAGCCAACCAAACAAACCCTTACCCTAAGTACACACCACAACTGGTATAGCAAGAATTTTAGTGCTGATTTTGATTTCTGTCACCATAGTGTACTTTTGTTTTGACAGATAAAAAGATTGAAAATTGTTGGTATATATATGCTTTATTAATGCCAAATGATGCAGCTTCATCTAGCTTCCTTGTGTTGCCATATGATTACTTGTGTAACACTCTCTGGTGTCTCGTTAAAAAGGAGCTGCCGTTGTGCAGTTTGACGTGATTAGAGTGAGCCTGAATTTTTGTTCTCATACATTTCTGTGTTTTGTAAAAAGGATGAACTGAGGAAGCCATAAACAATGCATGAGAATGGATTTGAAGAACTGATACATCTCTTGGGAAACTATATAGCTTGATAGTGGCTCCAGACTCTTGTATTGTTGGTTTTACTGCACCTACCCCTTTTTTTGATTATTAGTTCAGTATAATTGTGAAATTGTCATGGTCTTTATATAAACTTACACACCAATACAATATTGTATAACAGAAGTATCCAACGAACAAACATAAATACTTTCTGAAGTTGGATGCGATGAAAAGCCTCGGTCATGTGCAGCTCGTCTATACAGTATGTGGTATGTCTACCATCTATGAGAACAGGGACGATGACGGCTTCCTTTACATGACCTATACACCTACAGGCTACAGCGGCGAGAATACCTTGAGGCAAGGCAATGCTGTTGCCGCAATCACCATTTGGGAATGCATTTCCAGTAGACTTTCAGGGGCATGCCATTTTTGTCATAAGATCTGTAGCTATTAATCAAGCATAGCATACTGATGAGAGGAGATTTTCACAGATCAGATAATAATTTAGTGATAATCCAGGAACAAATACGGTGGCAAACGGAACAGGAGAATGGACCTGGGATCCACCATAAGAATCACAGAAAGGACCCTACCCGATGTCCACTGTACCCTAGGTAACAAACTCAACAACCGACTGGTCGATTTCCTTTTCTATTTTTTTTTCCTGAACCACCAGAAATCATAGAAAATCGCTTGGAGGTTCATCATTCAGTTCAGATGGCAAGACGCCAGTTTTCAAACAAAACAGGAGCCAAATGACAGACTTGCTGCCATCTGAAATTGTTGCAGATTGTCCTGTTGAGAAAAAATACTGCATTTTTTTTTCAAAAGCAGCACATACATGATGCATTAAATTAGTAGGAAGCACATGCAGAGAAGCATATCTTGAACTTATCAGCCCGGCTTATCAATTATGGTACATTGTTTTTCTCTCACAACAAAACAGCACCAGCCGGCTTATCAGCCGCAAAAACCATCAGCCGAACAACTCGATAAGCTAAATGTGTTGGTACAAGGATTGCACATTTGGACGAGTCATCAGACAAATCAAATTCCAAAAAAAAAAACTAACCAGCAAATGCATAAACGATATACTTGCCACAACGCATTGTGATGGTGTTGAGAACAATGATTGAGGCACAAGCAAAATAAGAGGCTGACCTTGAGATCCAGCTAAGGGAATCACCAATAGTGTGCGGTGTGCCATGCAAAATTCTAGCAGCAAGGAGCTTACATTCCTTCCTTCTCTATGCAAGTGTGAACGTGTGCCACTAACATATAAATATAATAAATAAAACTTAAAAGAGAATTTCATTCTACTATAATGAAGCCTAGATTTCTTTCCGCGATCATTGGCGATCCCATTGCTAGAAAATTGCAGTATTGAGCCTGTCCAAGATGAATTGCCACAAAACAAGTAATATCAGAGCGATCTCACAATGCGATCCATCATCTGACTCATTGGTTGTTGATTTCCCGTGGAGCCCAATCAATGGAAATCGAAAATTGGCAATCTGTAGCTTCTTGAAATTCAGTTCAGACGGCAGAAAAGGGTGCAAGAAACACCCTAGCTTTCAATCACGAGAGCACCCAAATTATGCTTCATGGCATCTGAGCTGACTTTCAGATCTTCAAATCGCCTTGTTTAGCATCGATAAGCAGGCAATGGGTAAGCTTGCTACCTCCTATAGAATGTGAATGCATAAGGTTAAGGTGACACGAAAAAAAAAGCATCATAGAAGGAGCCCTCTTTATTGGCAGGCTTCCAGGTTGCATCACCTGTAGCGTCACTGTAGCGCCGGTCAGTGGCTCCAGCTCCACCCAAAATCAACTACGGTCTACGGGACAAGAGGAGCCAGTGAAGCACCCTTGCGCTCTCGCTTGCTGTGAAGCCGGTTTCTTGGGCTTCACTGGCTCCTACAGTGTACGAACAGTGCCAGAATCGGAGCACCCCTTAGCCCTGCCAGATAAGCCCTAGATATGTTGATACATGTAGCAATTGCATTAGTAGCAGGCACAGTCACATAGCATGATAGCAAATCCCAGACCTCACTTCCTCACTGGCAGAAGCACAACCTCGGTAGCAACATTCATTATTATAGGGCTGAAACAATTAACCAAATAACCACCCATATCTTATTACATCACAGACAATCATTACTACATCAAGGACAGCTCCTGGATTCCCGGTCTTCAGTGGAGTTTCCTGAGGAAGTCGGTGGTGTCAACTAGAAACTAGGATGTTAAGGATAAAATATCATATTTATTGGGCACCTACTTCAAGAATTTTGTGTGTGTGGGTGTGTGGGGGATCAGGGGGGGATCCATTAGATTTAATTTGGGGGCTGAGTCACACCACAGCACAATAGTCATGAGGTGACAAGATAGTGCAGATAAATATACTGGAGCTCTAGCTTTAGCTTCTTAGTGTACACCCATGGAACAGAATCCTGTTCTAACAGTGGCTTGGCTTCACATGTGCATCAAGTTTAAGCTTTGAAACTTTATGCAAAGCATTAATCATTTCATTGTCACTGGCTCTAGATTTGAAGAAAGCACTAGTCAATTTCACAGTTAATTTTTTTTATTTTACGCGAAAATTTAACAGTTAACTATATAGAACAGATGGAAGCACACTATTTTCCAGCCATCAGGATCAACAAAAGAGATGATCTTAGTGTTGATCCCAGGTAACGCCCCTGAGCGAGGGTCGTCGGAGAGGACGAGCGACTGAGGGAGGGGAAGGGGGCGGCGCGATTGAGGACAGCACGAGGAAAGTTACGGCCGTGTGGCGCGTCTAACGCAAGCAAGCCGTGTGTTAGCCACGTTCTATATTTTTTCCTGCTAAAAATATAGAACAACAGTGCTCGTGCCTGGACATCCGGACCAACGCCCGCGCCTGCACCTAGCCCCTCGCGCCCCCTCCGGCAATTGTAGCAGGCGGGTCTCATTGCAACATGTGTAACACTCTGATCTACTTTTGAAACATTCAGATACAACACTTGCAACATACGTCTGAAGATAGATGAAACGCTTGAAACATGAGTCTGAAACACTTGCAAAAACATCTGCGAACACTTAAAACCATTGCAAATTTACGCAACATCAAGATAAAAACACTCACAACATATGTGTGAAACATATGCAACATCTAGATAAAACGTACGTCTAAAAACATATGAAACATTGGGAATAGACGTTTGCAACATACGTGTACAACCATTGCAACATATGCAACATCGCGATCTACTTTTGCAACATCCTGACGAAACACTTGCAGCATACCTCTAAAACATCTAAAACAGTTGAAACGTATGCTTGCAACATGTGTTTTTAGCGCAACATCTACTTGCTGCTTGGATGATTAGAGGCTCGTCGACGCGGAGAGGTGCGCAGCTCCGGTGGAGAAGACGTCCGGCGCAGTGGAGAACGCCATGGTGGGCGGATGGCCCGGTGGAGAGGAAGGATGACGGGCGACGTCGTTGGGACATGGCGGAGAGAGGACGGTGGCTGGTTAGCGCGGTGGAGAGCGCCGTGGCGGTGTGGTCGCGATGGAGCGCGTGCGGCTGTGCGGACGCGACGGTGGCACGATGAATGGAGAGGAACGACGACGGACTCATGAGCAGATAAGGTTAGACGAGTGGATATACAAGTGGAGAGTTAGGTCATTAAACTAGTGTCATGGCCATAAAAAGAGCATCCGGACGAACGGATGTTCTCAGCACGTTATTATCGAACATAGAAAAATCGAAAGGGCTTAAGGCTCCTGTAAAGTGTAAAACAAGGCCCTGTTCACTTGAACTTATCAGCCGTACTATCTTAGTAAAATAACAGTATTTTTTTCTCATACCAAATCAGCACCGGTGGTCGTTTCCGGGCAGCCGAACAGGGCCAAACACAAAAGCCCAGGAGCCCCAGACTGGAAGCACAAAGCACCCGCCTGGCCCATCTCCTGGTCCCCGACCTCGCCTCCAGTTCCACTCTCGCGGCGGGGCCGCCGCCCCACCCCCAGTCCCCACACCATGTACGGCGTCGGCGGCGGTGGGGGCGGCTTCAACGCGCCCTCCACCACTGCCGGTCGGCGCCGCAACCCGGGCGACGAAGAGGAGGACGAGGAGGAGGAGGGCGGTGAGGGCCGCGTCCTGGAGGCGTGGGAGCGCGCGTACGCGGACGAACGGTCGTGGGAGTTACTGCAGGAGGATGAGTCGGGCCTCCTCCGTCCCATCGACACCAAGACCCTCGTCCACGCGCAGTACCGCCGGCGCCTCCTACTCCGGTCCGCCGCCGCTGCCGCTGCCCGCATCCAAAAGGGGCTCATCCGCTACCTCTACATCGTCATAGACCTCTCCCGGGTTCGTTCCCTTCGCTTCATGTTCTCTGTCGTTCGGCTAGCCACACCATCAAGCACCTGGCGAGCATATTTCTGATTTAGACCCAACGGACTCGTAGCAATGCCGATCGTTGTAACTTGATGCTGGCTTGTGATTGCTATACCTTGTTCCGAGAGAGGTGTGGCAGTGCTTACGGCCTTATGGGCTGCGCATTTGGTTCACTTAAGTGTTGACTTACTTAAGGCATGAATGGAGTGGTGAGTACTAGGACTCTGCCTTTTGCTTGTTTCATATACCTGTAGGTTCATTTATAAGCTTGTGAAATGTTGTGGAGGTGGTGCCGATCTGTATGAGCAATCCTGGTTTATTTGTTTGTAGAGCAATGTAGGTGATACGATCTGATTGGCTGCCTTTAATGCGTTTGTTTAACCTCACGGCCTATCTGTGACGATTATCTTATTTGGCTTGTACATTCCGAGGGTGATGCTGTAATTGGAAGATGTGAGGCCAATTTTAGAATCTAATGCTGATTTAGCAACTTTAAGTTTGGGAGATCAATCATTTTATGTGCAAACAGTAAATTAGATGGGTAACAGCTGAGTATTTTGGAAATTCTAAAATCTACCATGGTTCGTACCCATGTCCGCCATGGCTACGGCATAGGTAGAAACCATTGCTACCTTAAGGATTTCTGTAGTACGGAGTAATAGACTCATGTACATGAATCATGAAGGGAAACATGGACGTAGGTTGTTCCAAATTGCAATTGTTAGTATTGCTGTTGGCAGCAATATGTTCGCTCAAGTCTACCACAGCAAAGCTTAATATATATGTGTGCACACCAATTGGATTGCTGAAACAAAATGTATATGACACAATACTTCATAGGCATTTTATATATTGAGATTGGATTATCAGAATCCTCTTAGGGCCTGTTTGGAACACAAGAATCCAAAATAGAGGAATGGAATAAAACGCAGGAATCGGATAGGAGGAAAATAGGAAACCAGAGGAATGGAAAAGTGTAGGTAGAGGTGTTTGGAACACGGGGAAAAAACACACGAAACAAGATTTAAACACTGTTATGTTTTCACTTATAAAAAAGCGTAGGCAAGCACACAGTTTCACAAATAGCATATTTTAGGCACTGTCATGTTGTCCCTACACCTGGGTCCCATCTTCTCACTGTGATGGCAACAAGCTTCACCGTTTCTCAGAGTGAGTCACCCGCCGCTCGTTCTCCAACACAGGCTCTGCTGCCTCGGGCACACGCGAAGGAAGCAAAAACCAGAGCTTTGAGCGGACGTTTTATTTCCTGCGAAATCACAGCTGAGCTACAGTATTCCAAAGGAACTTCCAATTCCTCCGTTCCAAATGCTCACGCAGACTTCCTTTCCTCCGTTTCCAATTCCTGCAATTTTCCTTTGAAGTTCCTTTGATCCAAACGGGGCCTTAAACATGAGGCTCTTATCGATGAATCCTGTTAAAATTTGAAACGTCTTAAGCATATGTTCCTGATTTTGATACCTTAGGTATATTTGATATATGTCGAATAGAGTGAATGTCTTATGTCTCCCTTATCAAATGGACTATTTTTGTCAACATTTTGAAGGTGTTCCTGGGGAGGGTTATTGCTATTGCTGCCTGGATAGTTGTGTCTGAAGATGCCTTTTAATTGTTTCCCCGCATCTTAGAAGTTAATTCTCCCTGTCATTCCTTGTATAGATTTCTGTAGAGAAGCAAATCATGTGCTAGATGCTTTTGCTTTTACCATTGGCAAGGCTTGCTCCAACAAAACCCTTACATCACAAGAAGTGCAGGAACTAGGGTTGCAGGAAAAGCAATTAGGTCTTTAACAATTACCACACAATCAATCTATGGAACGCTCTTATGTGTACGTACAAATAGACTAGTCTTGGAATTTAAAAATAAAAGTTTTTTTTTTGTATTGATGCAGACCCTATGGATTGCACAAATGAATGGTTATTCTTGATTGATGGATTAGATAGACATGGAATTATTTGATACATGTGCACTTGAACTTATGGTAACAATACCAGGACTTACTTTAAAGAGTCATCTAGATGTGACAATTTGTTTTTGCTGTTAAGAATATGCAAAGAATAATGTCTATTCAGCTGATTGTACCTTTTTTATGTCAATTGAGATTTGAGAATGGAACAAACAAACACTGCTTTAACTAGCATGGAAGTTTTTTTTCCTGATGTGACAGCGTATACATTTTGATTTTTGTATTCTTTTGAAACTGTGCATTTCTGGTAAAGAATATTTCTCTAACATCCTTGCCAATTGTTTTTTCTCTTTGGTAATGTTATAACCTTATCTTTGAGCATCCATAAATGTTTCAAGTTTATAAGATTGGCTTGCTCAGTTGTTTTTGTGGTAGTGAAGAATTGTTCAACTGCAAATTATCATCACACTCTCTTTGCATCTTTGCATTCTCAAAATTGTTATTTACTCATGTAGGCGGCTTCAGAGATGGATTATCGTCCTAGTCGAATGGCTGTTGTTGCAAAACATGCTGAGGCTTTCATAAGAGAATTCTTTGACCAGAATCCGTTGAGCCATGTTGGCCTAGTGACAATTAAAGATGGTATTGCCCATCGACTTACAGAAATTGGAGGGAGCCCAGAGTCACAGATTAAAGCTTTGATGGGGAAGCTTGAGTGTTCTGGTGATTCATCCCTGCAGAATGCTCTAGAACTTGTGCATGGTTATTTAGATCAAGTACCATCATATGGTCACAAGGAAGTTCTAGTTTTATACTCTGCCCTGAATACATTTGATCCTGGTGATATCATGGAGACGATAACAAAATGTAAGAAGTCAAAAATTAGATGCTCTGTCATTGGCCTTGCTGCAGAGATCTTTATTTGCAAACATCTATGTGAAGAGACTGGTGGATCCTACACTGTTGCGCTGGATGAGGTGCTAAAATGTATTTTTGATTTTACCTTTGATTATTCAATCCTTGTGAAAGATTAACGGTATTTCCTTTCTTTTTGCAGTCTCATTTCAAAGAGTTGTTACTGGAACATGCTCCCCCACCTCCTGCGATAGCAGAATATGCTGCAGCTAATTTGATTAAGATGGGCTTTCCACAGAGGGGTACTGAGGATCTTATCTCTATTTGCTCTTGTCACAAGAAGATAAAGTCTGGGGCTGAAGGTTACATATGTCCTAGATGCAAAGTTAATGTGTGTGAGCTTCCAACTGAATGTCGAACTTGTGGTCTTACGCTAGTTAGTTCTCCACATTTGGCAAGGTCATATCATCATCTCTTCCCGGTAGCACCGTTTGATGAGGTCACCCCTGTCCCAAATAGAATACAAAGGGGAGGACAGATCTGTTTCAGCTGCCAGCAGAGCCTTTTTAACCCAGGTATGCTTAAGCATGTCAAAGCTCGTGTCTGCTAATTCTTTAGACTACAAAATATATCTTTCGCCTTGTCTGCATATGCTTCAATGGTACAAACCTTGTACTCCCTCCGTCCCAAATTATCTGTCGTTTTCAGTTTTCGTGTCATAAGTTTGACTAGATTTGTAGAAAATGTGTGCAACATTTGTATCTCCAAATAAATTTATTATGAAAATAGATTTAATGATCTATCTAATGATATTAATTGTGTATCGTAAATATTTATATTTTATATATAAAATTAGTTAAAGTTATTTCTCGGGAAGCGAGAACGACAATTATTTTGGGACGGAGGGAGAGTAGTTGGTAGCAAGTATTCCATAAATTCATGTATGGTGATACATGTCCTTTTTTTTGCAAGGAATAGTGGTACCTGTCCTCTTTTTTGCGAGGAATAATGATACCTGTCCTTATTCTAACTATTCTTTCTTCTTAGTAAAACATGTCCAACTAAAAACAAGATGGCATGGCAATACGGGAAGCTTACTAAGCAATAGCCTTAAATTCTTTCTGCAATAAAATAGGAATGATATAGTTAGCTTCTGCACTGATCATTAGGTCAAATAGGAATGATATGAACATTACAGTTATTTCTGTTATTACAGTAGTGGAAATGGGGGTGCTTCCTTGTTTTGATATTTTTTGAAGTTTACAGTTTGCCCATCCCAATTCTTGTATTTTGATCTTTCAAAGTATTCTCAAGTTTCTTTTCCTTCGATTTTCTTGTACTAATTTTTTGGTGTTATGCTTCTTACATGAAGTAGCAACAACCAAGATTCATTAATCATTTGATTTTTCTTAAAAATCCTTGCAGATGGCCAATCTAACCTCCATGTTCGCTGCCCAAAATGCAACCAGCACTTCTGCCTTGATTGTGATATTTACATCCACGAGAGCTTGCACAATTGCCCTGGTTGTGAGAGCCAACGCAGCATCACTTCATAGAGACCTTGCCATTGTGTGCATTATTCAGGTCATACCTTAAGCTTTCTCCTACACTGTAACCGGCAGCAAAGTTGTTTCATGATCAGACAATGTACAGATAATATAATGCCCGGCATCCTTTTATTGATAGTTCATGTTAGATTGAGTAGCTAGTTGAGCTATTGATACCCCATCGGAGGCCAATGAGTTGATAGTTTTAACATTGTGCCGAGAAGAGATGCTGAAAGTGTATAAACATGACTGAGACTTGATTCTTGCTGTTATTTTTTCTGAAGCAAGACGGTATTTTTATTCAGTTTCATGACTTTTTTTTGTTTATGCTAAAACTGAGGTTGTCATCATAAACTGCTTTGGGGATTGGGGTTGGGGGTTTCATCAATCGATCTATTGAAGAAAAACGCTCCGGTTTTAATGCTCAGGACATGTACCACCCATAGACGGGTTCTGTCTTTAAGCGTCTCGAATATATCGTACAGTTATAAAGACAGATTGTATAACCAAATAGAGCAGGCCGTCGCCGTCGAGCCACCACCACGACCCAGAGAGCCGTCGGCACCAAGCAGCCACCGCGACCGAGGGTATGGGTTGGGGCCGCAGCGGCCGCCACAGTCAACGACGACGGTGACGAGCCCTTCTTCCTAGCTGCGGCCGCCATGGACATCTCGGGTGCACCAAATCGGAGACGAGAGTGCGAGAAGGAGATGGATTTGGGAAAGTGAGGATGTGGGGATATATGAAGGTGGAGATGGATTTGGCTCGGAAAAGTCCCGCGCCGCCAAATCGACTTATGCTGCGTGCGCGGCTGCTGCTCGCGCGGGATCCGAGCGCGCCGGCGCCTCTAGGAGACGAGGCCGTACAACGGAGACGCGCTCGTCTATTCGGCATCGGAGCAAAAAGTCCGTCTCTGAGACGAGAAAAAGACGCCCGTTGTAGGTGCCCTTAGTTGATCGGGAGTTGGCGCGTGGTGATAGTTTATGTTCCGCGTTGGCAGCAAAAACACGCCGGCTATGTGTTGGGTACGGTGTTGAGCACGCATTGGATGATCTACTCCCGTGTAGCCCTTGTTGGCGGCGACTACCACAACAGCGGGTTGGGACGCGACCACGATACCCTCGTACGTGCAACATTTCGACAATTACATGTCAGCGTGACAGCGTGAACCCCTCAGATTTCTTATTTGGGAGACGACCCAGAGGAGTTTGGTACACCTTCGGGCCGACCTTTTGGCCATGGTCGTTCCGTTCGCTTGGCTTATAAACCGTATTTTTTCAGGCAACGAACAATATTTTTCTCTCACAACAAATTAGTCAACAATACTTTCAGTCATGGCTTATCAACCAAGCGAACAGGGCAGGTACCTTCGCGGCGTATCTCAGGGTGTGCACTCGCCCGCCTCGTGCTTGTGAGTGTGGCTATCCCCTTGGCTAATCATTTCGGTGACTGTCCAAAATCACTGGGTATTTGGGTAGTGCGAAAGGGGCTGAACGTTTTCAGCCGCACAAGAACTAGGGGTCCTCGCCGTTGGGTGTCCCTCAACATGTACCCACATCCTCGAATTTCACCTATGATTCAAGGGGCTAAAAAAGCTGCAATATTCTTCATTAAACACATTAGTCTCTAATTTTTTTGCTTATTAATGGGAACTGCTAGCGCCCGGACGCCCGATCTGGACGCTAGCATCCGGACGCCCCTCAGCGCTTGACCCTTCTCGTCCGCTTCCCAGTCCGCACTCCCCCAGCGCGTGCCCCTTCCCCAGTTCGGCACCAGACGCTACCAGCACGCCCCCCGCGCGACGCGCGCAAGGAGCGAACCCGCTGGCGATGGTACGAGACCGAGGTAGCAGCAAGGACCGCCGCCACCGCCCTGAGATCGCGCGCCAGCGCGAACTGCCGCTGCTGCGTCTTCGTCGAACGAAGAGCCCCACTAACACCGACGAACCGGCGACCCGCGATGCCTACGAAGAGCCCCGCTAGCCTTTGTGTTGCGCGAGTCCGCACGCCCCCAAATCGCCTTACGCCTGACCCGTCGTCGCGTCATACGCGCCGACATGAGCTTGTTGCATGCCAGCGCCCCCATGGCCACCAAGACTTCCAGCGTCCGTCGGCCCTCAAAGACACCTCCGCCCGCTAGGCCCCGGCGAACCACGCGCCCCCGTCCGTCCCGGCTCGCCCCTCCTCGACCGAACAACATAGAAAGTTAGAATAAAACACGTGCGACAACACGAAAACAACTACTGCAACATTAGGCTGAAGCAGCTGAAACACCATGAAACATATATATTGCAACAACAAGGAGCAACAACTGCAACATTGGGATGAAGCAGTTGAAACACCATGAACATATTATTGCAACAACAACTGAAACATTAGGATGAAGCAGCTGAAACACTATGAACATATTATTGCAACCACACTGAACTAACTGCCGCAACAATAGGCTGAAGGAGCTGAAACATTTAGAATGTATTATTGCAACACTGGTGTGAAGCATATGAAACAACGCTCGAAATAAAAATACTTGCAACAACATGGAACAACTACTGCAACATGAGATTGAAGCAACCGAAACATACTGCAACATCTCAAGCAGTACTACTGCAACATCGCAAAAACATATGTTGCAACAACCCAAAAAAATCCCATTGCAACATTCGAAATCATATGTTGCAACATCTAAAAAAACCATTGCAACACGGCGAGATCTGACCCCGAGAACTCGCCGGAACCCTAGCCACCGCCGCATCCCTTAGATCCAGAGAGGAGGAGGAGGAGGAGGAGGAGGGCTCAGATCCAGAAGAGGAGGTAGAGGAGGAGCGCTCAGATCCAGAGAAGGACCCACCTATCTCGCCGGAAGCCGCCGCCGTCGCCCTCTTCTCCGGTGGCATGGAGGTCACGGAGGGAGGGAGGGAGGGGCAGCTCGCCGAAAGCCACCGCCATCGCCCTCCTCTCGTGGGACATGGAGGTCGAGGAGGGAAGGAGGGAGGGAGGGGAGGGAGAGAGGGGCAGCTCGTCGAAAGCCGCCGACGTCGCCCTCCTCTCCGGTGGCATGGGGGTCGCGGAGGGAGGGAGGGGCGACGGGCGGGGCGGCGCCACGAGCGGCTCGGGAGGGAGCGGCGGTGAGCGTCTCCGTATGGAGCGGGTTGAGCGACGTGAGGCAGGTGGATGGAGATAAGGGCCTCGTTCGTGTGCTCTTAAACCCGGCTTGATCCGCTTCTTTTTTCATCCGGAACAGTGTTTTTCTCTCACAAATTCATCCAGCATTCCTCCAAACCATCCAAATTCCTCCAGAATTCCTCCAAGCGAACAGGCCCAAAGCGAGGGGAGCAAGTGGAGGAGCGCGAGCCACGACCGGAGGTGAATAAGCGCATCGGACACCAAACATATAGCATTACCGCTTATTAATACACCAAAACCCTCAGCTGGCTCGGATGCACTTTCACAGCCGCTCTCTCCTGCGGGCTGGCCTGGCCCAACTCGTAGCCGGCCATCTGGGCCACAGGACATATGAACCTGTATCTTGATTCGCACAGCTGGCCGGATCAAGCTGAGCTCTCAGGTGATGCTTGACGGGCGAAAAGACGAGAGCAAATGATCGATCAACTGAAAGCACAAGCACATCTGAATTTCTGAGCAGCGCACGCCACCGCCTCGTGCGCCATTAATATTCTGCTCGTCGCGCTCAGGATCAGGCGAAGCTCACCTCACCTCACCTGTGCTGGCTCTGGCTGAGCAAGCGGGAAGAAGACAGTCCAACGGCTCCTGGGTTGCACCGATCACCTATGGAGACGCTCCGCTCACCTACACGTACTGATGTACCCGTATAATATCGGCGACGAGGCAACTTGCAGGTGCGCAGCGCAGGGCATCCCAACCACCGGCGCGACGACAGACAGGAAACATATAAATCTCGTTCACTCCGGCGTTCCGCCTGGTTTGCCTGGCCTGTTCTCTTCCCATTTTTTTCCCTTTCCTGCGTCGGCAGGGTGACCACTGACGAGAAGGGGAGCAGCCAGCCTCTGTCTGTCAGTCTTAAGTCTCAATACTATTATTCTTGTCGGGTAGAGTATACGTAGTTGAGAACTGAGTATCCGTGGCAGATGACAAGAGATCGCGAGTGCCGACCTGCCGCGCTTATCTATTCGGCGTATTTCATCAGCAACGGGACTAAGTTTTCGGCATATTCTGACCAGATATACACGTGCATGTATCCTGCTGTTGCTTCCACGAGTGTACAATGCACTGGCCTGCTTAGTTTTCTATTTCCTCGGTCGTACAAACCTGGCAACAAAATCTCCATTTGGCCATCAGAGCACAAGCAACCTTGCCTGTAGGTTATATATCACGCTGGCTGTTTTACCAACTTTGTACACTAAAGTTTTAAAATACTAAGGATTTGGATTCTGATTGAAGCGAGGGTTGTTAGGCCGGGGAGGAAAAAAAATTCACCGGCCCAGCCAGGATAGCTAAAAGAGGCCCATGGTTTCCAGCTAGGCGGGCCCATCACCGCCGCCGGCACCGCCAACCAACCCTTCTTCACGCTAACAACACGTCTCATAATTCAAACACCCAGCTGGTTCCGTTACTTTACTACTCCTCGTACGCTTCCTCCCTCCCGCGGCCACGAGAGAGACGAGTCAAACCAAAACACGAGCCGCACCGGCAGTCCCGCACCCCAAACGCTCCACCTCCACAGCTCCACTACCTTCAATGCCTGCTCTGCTCCCCTCCAAAACCCGCCGCCGCTCCCTCTCCCCGTCCCCGCACTCCTATCGGCAGCCGTCGTATAACCCGTAGGCGGGGTGGCGGTGTAAGAGCCCCACGGATCGGAGTCTGCGAGCCGGTTGGCTGGGAGGAGGCGATTTGGTTTGTGCTTTGCAGCGATGGAGGCCGCGTGGAGGAAGGTCAGGAAGGCGATGGGCCTCCGCCTCGGCGTGCACGCGTCCGCGGCGGGAGGTGGAAACGTCCGCCGGGCCCCGCCGGGCGCGGGCGGTTGTCGGCGGGACGCCGCGGTGGCGGTGGTGCTGGTGGCGGCGGCGGCGGACGAGTCGGGGCCGAGCACGCCGGTGGGTGCGCTCCGCCCGTCCAAGTCCGGGGGCAGGTCCTCCTCCTCGCACTCCTCCAAGGTGAGATCGAGATATGAGCGTTTCTGAGTTTTTCTGAATTGGGATTGGGGGTTTCAATCGATAAAAGAGAAACGCCCCCGGTTTCAATGCTTGGTTTGATCGGGGATTTGGGCGTGGTGGTAATTTCTGCCCTGCGTTATATTTGGGAATTCAAATGCATGCTTTTGGTAGTATAACGCACCCTCCGTGTGTTGGATGTTTTTACTGGCGATCTCCGTGTTGTTAGCGCGGATAGGATGCATTCTCAGTGCGAAAATTGTGTTTCACTAGCTGTTTTAGATTTTTGCGTGGAGACTTTGTGCGCTTCTTCGGCATGAGTAGTTACGCTCGCTGGTTGTGCTTGTGCGCTTCTAATAAGCTTATCAATCATACTACATCATTTTGCATTACTGTTTTGCCCCCCATTTTATTCTCTCCCGTCAGAAAGACAATCACCCAATTACTGTCCAAAACGAAGAAGAAAATTTTCAATTCCTGTATTTTCTTGATATAAGTTCAATCCTAGAGATTCACAGGACCTTGCGTGCCAGCTGTTGTTCGTTCTGTATTCTCTAATGTCTCCGTTAGTCAATGCTTCGTCGCTCAAATAATGTCATTCATGTTGAGAGATTCATAGGAGATATTGTGCCAGCTGTGCTCTGCTCGGTATCCTCTGACGTCACTTTTTTAGTCAATGGCTTTCCTTAGATAACTGCTTAACGCAAGCCGCTTCCCTATCCCATCCATCGTGTCTGTACTTCCCTTGCTCTCCTTCTTGATAAGGAAAGGAAAAAAGCTTGCTTGTCGCTCATCACCAGCCCGTGGTGGTCACGTGTAGCAAACCCCACTTTTTCCTCCTACCACCAGCTTTCTTTCTTTACGGCAGATGTTCTCCAACTTGACAGCTGCTATCCATTATAGCGGACGCAAATTGGGCAGCTGATTGCTGACTGCTACTTTCTATTTTTATGTGGCCTTTTTTTGTCTCAATGGTACCAATTTGACAAGTAACTTCACATGGATTGCCTCACTACCTTTACATTCATGGGTTCCATGCATGCAACAACTTGGTACAAAAGAGTAAAAACAGTAAAGAGGAAGTATTAGGTATTAAGTTGAATTTTTGAAGGATAAACCTTCTACTTCACAGGCCTAAGTAGCTGTGACCAAATTCAATAACTAAAATCAGGATTTATTGTGTTCAAACTTGTTGTGATGATAACTTGACGAGTACATTATCCATAAAATGAATGATGAACTAAATCAGTATTACAACACGTGTATGGTTATTTGTGCTCCTTTGCTGGCTTGATGTTGATGGCAAGTGTTTAACTACTGGTCAAAGGTGTGCTTGGTATGGGAATATCAATTTATCTCAATTCAAGGTTTCTCGGTATAATATCTCATCCTTACTTTTTTGTGCGGACCAATAGACAACGACTGATGCATTACCTCAAATCCTCAATTGATTTCGGTGGACACATGCCAAAAGGAAGTGCTAGTTTCAATGTTCTGCTGCCCTGCCATTGCTACATCGTGATGTTGATTGTTTGCTATCTGCTTATCTTGAACGTATAAGATGATATTTGACTATTAGAGCTGCTATGGTGCTTGGACTTAATACCAAAGATATTATTAAAAAATGTATGTACATATTTGTTATTTAGAAAATAATTTACATTGGGGCAATGGTGCACATGCACCTAAACGTGAACTACAAAAATGACATTTAGGGCCACATAAATGAAGGTTCAAGGTACACGTGTTATTTCGGAGTTGAGGTTGGATGAATAAAATTTTATTAGAGGCTTATGCAGTGTAGTAAAGATCTGTACTGGCCTAGCTCTAAACCAGGTCAGGCAGAAAATTAGGTAGTATAATTTAAAAGTATCTGTTCATGTGCACGTGTTAATACATGCTATTCAAAGTAGTAGTAGTTCTTTTTGTATAATTCAAAGCAATTATGCTTATTTTTTTTTCTTTGGTTTGTCCTTCAGCAGGGGAAATGTGCAATATGCTTTGCTAGCATGAGATCTGGCCACGGACAAGCCCTTTTCACGGCAGAGTGTTCTCACATGTTCCATTTTCAGTGTATCTCGTCTAATGTAAAACATGGAAACTATGTCTGCCCAGTTTGTCGAGCGAAATGGAAAGAGATACCCTATCGCTCACTATCTTCTACTAGTCCTCGTGGAAGAGTTGGAGGTGACCATATTCGATCACCCCAACAAGATCCTCATTTGGCTCTTCACCGGCAAGTTTCAAACCGGCGGCCAGAGGTCCGTCGGTTACATACTTCTGAGCCAGTAGACTACAATGATGATGAACCTTTGCAGCGCATAGAGGCTTTTGACAATTTTAATTCTGGATCTAGGAAAACTGCTGAGATCAGCTCATACCCAGAATTCCAAGCTGTTTCACAGTCATCATGTCTAGATGGATTTGACATTCTGATCCATGTGAAGGCCCCCACTTCTAGCACAGATGACGTCACAGGCAGTTTGGTCAATGAAAGCTCTATGAGGTCGTCAAGACGAGTTCCTATTGATCTTGTTACTGTCCTCGATGTTAGTGGCAGTATGGCAGGCACAAAATTGGCACTCCTGAAGCAAGCAATGGGTTTTGTTATTCAGCACCTTCGGCCATCTGACCGCCTTTCAGTCATTGCCTTTTCATCTACTGCTCGAAGACTGTTCCCCCTCCAACGGATGTCACATCATGGTAGGCAGCAGGCCTTGCAGGCAATCAGCTCACTTGGCGCTGGTGGTGGTACGAACATTGCTGATGCACTAAAGAAAGCTGTGAAGGTAATTGAGGACCGCAACTATAAGAATTCTGTATGCAGTATCATTCTTCTGTCAGATGGTCAAGATACCTACAACATTTCCTCAAATTTCCAAGGCACATCAGCAGGTCGTAGGTCACTTGTTCCATCTTCTATTCTAAATGAACTCCATATGGTACCCCTGCACACTTTTGGATTTGGAGCAGACCATGATTCAGATACACTGCATTCGATTTCTGAAGCTTCTGGTGGCACCTTTTCTTTTATTGAGGATGAAGGTGTGATGCAAGATGCGTTTGCTCAATGTATTGGTGGGCTTCTTAGTGTTGCTGTTCAGGAGATGCATCTCAGTATGGAGTGCGTTGATCCTGGTGTTCAACTTTGTTCCATTAAATGTGGCAGCTATCCAAGTAAGGTAGCAAGAGATGGACGAAATGGATCTGTTGATATTGCTCACTTATATGCTGATGAGGAGAAAGACATTTTGCTGTCAGTGACCATTCCAAAATCTTGTGAACAGACTTCACTGTTAAGAGTTGCTTGTGCTTACAAAGATCCTGTGACCAATGAGACTATCAAGATTCAAGGTGACGAGGTAAAGATCAACAGGCCAACATCCACTGTATCTGTACCGGTTTCTATTGAAGTTGACCGAGAGAGGAACCGTATACGAGCTGCCAATTCTATCGAGTCTGCACGGGCTGCTGCCGAGAGGGGTGCTCTCTCTGAGGCCGTCACTATTCTTGAGGACTGCCGGAGGGCAGTATCACAGTCTGTTGCAAGACAGAATGGGGACCGTCTATGCATGGCCCTTGACGCAGAGCTAAGAGAGATTCAGGAGAGGATGGCGAACCGCCAACTTTATGAGGCTTCAGGGAGGGCATATATGTTGTCTGGATTGAGCTCTCATTCATGGCAGAGAGCAACAGCGCGCGGAGACTCTACAGATAGCACCACTCTTGTTCACTCATATCAAACGCCATCCATGGTTCAGATGCTGGAGCATTCCCAGAATTTCAGCTCTTTGCCTCAGGGCCGAAGGCCACAAGTCCAGGGAAGGTAAATCACCATCGTCTCGGCAGTGTCATGTTCGGATGATGGCGAAAGTTTAATCTTAGCTTTCATTAGTCTTAGCATGTTGCTGGCGCTTTAGTAGTGCCTAGCTATTCTTTCGCTGATAAGTTTATTTGAGTCCTAGTGAGGTAATACCGCGGAAACTGAGGTGCGGCAAGTACTTTATTGTGATAGCTAGAACTATATTCCCCCAATGTGATGATATGTGGGGGAAAAAAGGATGGAAATGTAAATAGTTTGGTTCCTAAAATCTGTCAACGGGCCCATTCCATTTAATTTCCTCGAATCATGGAATTTAAGTCATGAATAATTTCAATTGATCTTTGGTGATGCGTGCAAATTGGACTGGTACGAAGAATGGAAACCCAAATGCGTACCCTCTGTTTCTCCTTCCCAGATTCGCGTCAGTGTGCTCTCAATATAATTAAGTTCTCGTATGTATGCTGCCTTAATCAGTGATGGTAATTTAAGGTAAATCACTGTAATTTGCAGGCAGGAATTTCGCATGAATATGACATGAAAGCATGAGTAACCTCGCAAGTAAAATTTAGCCAAACTTTGCTTAGAATGGCACCAGCATGTAAACATGAACAGGAGTGTTGTGAAACGACACATATACGTGAACGGGTGTCTACAGGGCGTCTATAAACGAACATGCATCTCTTCACGAATGATCTCATCCATCAAGCACATGATTAGTGGATATGATTAGATAGTTAGTTTTAGTCCCAAAGGGTATATCCTTTGGGAACAGTTGTGTCGGATACCATAAAAAGGGTACCCTAATCAAGAACCGAAAAAATTGCTTATACCTTGTAAATAACGAAACCAAAATACAACCGCAGGCAAACCCGCCACATCCGAGGCCCGGCTGGACCGCCCGGCCTACCTCGAACAAATATCCGGGCTCGACCGAGGCCCCACACCGCGAGGCCTCGGACGAGGTACCGATTCTCCGACTCGCCTGAGGCCCCACACCGCAAAGCCTCGGATGAGGTACCGACTCTTCGACTCGCCCGAGGCCCCGCGCCACAAGGCCTCGGACTAGCACCCAGTTACCGACTCGCTCGAGGCCGGCTCGGCATCAACCCCGTCACCGCCGCCTTGACCGGCTTCTCTGACGAGACGTCACATCCAACTAACACGTTCAACCACTCCCGCGACGGCAGCCGCACGTCGGCGCAGTACAGCGGAGTGGCCGACGAGACAGGTGTCATATCGACCCCATGCTATTCGAGACAGGACAGGGCGGGGGTTACCAGCCGCTGTGCTCGGCACTGTGCCCACGACGGACGCCCGTGCCACGCTGTGCTGCCTAACCCCTGTTCAAGGAAAGTCACGTCCGGGTCCCTGTAGCCTCGGAAACGACGTGCAAGGTCAACTGCTCCCTCCGAGCCTCGGCTACCCGCTTCCAGGCTCCTGTAGCCTCGGTACTCGCGCCTGCCGAGCCCCCCGCGACGGTCCAGCCTCTGCATCGACTGGGCCTCGGCACCTTGGACGAGACGGAGCCCGCACCTAAGGGGTCAGACGAGACGGAGCCCGCGGCCTTGGGGTCGGGCGAGATATAGCCCGGGTCCTTAGGGTGGGGCGAGACGGAGCCCGCACCCAAGGGGTCGGGCGAGACGGAGCCCGCGTCCTTGGGGTCGGGCAAGACGGAGCCCGCGGCCTTTGGGTCGGGCAAGACGGAGCCCGCACCCAAGAGGTCGAGCGAGACGGAGCCCGTGGCCTTAAGGTCGGGAGAGACAGAGCCCGCAGCCTTGGAGTCGGGCGAGACGAAGCCCGCACCCAAGGGGTTGGGCGAGACGGGGCCCACGACCTCAAGGTCGGGCGAGACGGAAACCGCGTCCTTAGGGTCGGACGAGACCTTTTAATACGTCTCGAGTCATCCGGAAAAATCAGCGTGGTGCTAACTTCCTTGCCTTGGGTATCCCTAATATCGATACCCGACAACAAATTAAACTAAATACTAATTTGTAAATTTAAATTTAGGCAGCTCATAGGTAAAAAAGAATTAGAGCATCTGAGTTTCCAAAATATTCTCCTAATCTTTTGATTTTTGACAAAATTAAAAAAATATATCTCCAACACATCCAAATACCACCTCCTAATCTTTTAGCGCTTCGGAAAAAAATGGCCCAACCCGCGCAAAGATGCGTGTTCTCCCCGTCCACGTATCCCCATGTCGCGCGTCTTCCTCCTTCGCGCACCACACGGAAGATTTCCCGCGACTTTTTTCCCCGGCAATCTGCTCCAGAGACGCAGCGCTTGGAGGTTGCAGCAGATGCCGACTCCAGCAGCCGCCGTGGAGGGGCGGCGGCGCTGCATCTCCTGCACTGCTGCGGCTTCGGCCGCGTCGCGCACCTGCCGGCGCTCCCCGGCCGCCGCCACCGATGAGGACAGTTTGCACGCGTCCGCGCCGCCACGGAGCCGAAGCCGGCCACGGTTACAAGAGGTGTCCAAGTAGATCCAACGCGTGCGCAAGCAGATGGAGCAGGACGAGCAGCTCGCCACGCTCATGTGCGGCCTCCGTGGCCAGAGCCTCCGTGAGCAGTTCGCCGACGATAATGTCTGCCTCCGCCTCGTCGAGGTCCATCCAAACTGCAACCTCCTTGATTCCACTTCCGCTAACCTTTCACTCAGCCTGCTCTCTTCTTCTATAACCACGCAGGTGGCTGGTGATTTCGCGTGGGATGCTCTCTTCCTAGTGTGGCCATCGTCAGGTGGCCTCAAGCAATGCGGTGGCCTCAAGCAGGATGCGTGGAGAAGATGAAGTTTTGGAATCTAATTTTTGGGAACTGTTGGAGTTGCAGCCTTTTTTATATATCATAATATGTTTTTTATCTCCTAATATGTTTTGGGAAGTTTGGAAATCCAGTGTTTTGGGAGGATTTTTTTAGGTACTCCTGTAGATGCTCGGTAACAATGCAGAACTGCACATACTTGCACCACAAATTGAACCCAGTAACTTGAACGTAACAAGTCCTCCATGTTTAACTGGTTGATCGTCCTGCGGCTGGCGCAGACCGCACATAGACTGGCTTCACGCGGCACGGAGAAGAACCCCCTCCGATCTTGACCTTGCTGCAGACAAGCACCTTGTCGGTGCACCGGGAACAGCCCGCCGGCATAGTCACCTCCCGCCGGCATAGTCACCTGTACGTCCAACGACGCCTCGCCCCGCTCCAGCTCGGCGCTCAGGCGTTCCCGCAGGAACCTCGGCAGCACCACGTCCTCTCCCCACGCCGTGGCCTCGCGCTCCTGCACGGCTGCACCTCGTGCTTCCCCGGCGCAGAACGGCGGCACGGAGCCCTTGCCCAGGAACGCGTCGCCGTACGACACCACCGCCGAGGATAGCTCCCCGACGCACGCGCGGTACCACGCGTAGCCGGAGCTGTCGATGCGGACCGTGAGGTTGAACACTGGCGACAGCGTCGTCGTCGGCACGCCGCCGCTCGTCGTCGCCTCCTGGTTCAGGCCGTCGACGCCGGTGATCGAGACCATGTAATATGGGTCCCTCGGGGTAGGTAAACGCCAGGCATACACTGTCAGCCAAACAAGGCCGGCAAGCACCGTCATCCAAAAAAGGCCGGCAAGCACGAGCACGCCCGCGCCACCGCCAACCACTTGCATCGCTTGGGATTCCTGGTCCCTGGGTTTTTCTTGTTGACCCATGGTAGAGAGGACAAGAACGGAGCACTGGCGGCGGCCGGCGTCAAGGTGCTGGCTGCTGAGGAGGCCTGAGGGAGGATAAAGGAGAGCTACCACGTCAACGTGTCCAGATGGAAGCTATGCGCGCTTGTCCTCGTGGGCGCTGCTACATAAAAGGGTCGGGGTCGGACACCGTCGCCTGCCCGGTTCGTGCACATCATGGACTCTGTTGCTAGGTGCCCGTGCGGCGGCGGACTCTGTTTTCGCCGCGTCCAACGTGGATTTACTTTACTGTAGATGATTTTTAAAGTACCTTGCACCTATACGAGTGAAAGTATAAATTGAATCCACTCGACGCTTTTTTCTTAAGAGGCCAAGCGGTTTTTTATTATACATACACATACCAGAAAAAATATCTGCGCTTCAGAGCTTATTTGGATACGAGGGCTAATCACTGGCTAGCTAAAAATTAGCTAAAATTAGCTCTAATGCATCCAAACAGGAGGGCTAATAGATGAGCTAATTTTTTAGAGAAGTCTTCAACTATAGTTGTTAATCAACTAGCTAGCCAACCATATTTATTTGGACTAATTTTTAGCCCAACTAGTAACTAGCCTTAGCTCATCCAAATAGGGTCTTAGTTAAAGAAATAACTCATCCATTAGCTGTTCTATTTAGATTGATTAGAGCTAATTTTAGCTTATGTCAATTATCTCAAGTATCAAACAGGCCTTTACTACAGGTGGATTCAACTCAACATGACCCGATATTTATCTATATCTATATCTATATATATATCTATATCTATATCTATATCTATACCTAATAATAAATAGGTAAAATTTCAGTCTATTTTTTGATACCCATTTTTTTATGGTCTCCTCTAACTAATTCCGTGAATGTGAAAACTATTTATGTTCGTCTCTCTACAACTCTCCTGTTTTTTAGGTGACCTGGATAGGTACGAATCCAAATCCTAATCCAAATATATCATTTTAAGTCCTGAGTAATCTGGGTAAGAATACTAATCCTATCCTACTTCTATACAGGATGAAGCGTTTCTTCAAACTATCTTTCTTTTTCCTATAATATAGTACAACATTCGTCGGTCTCCCTGTGGCCCTAAACGAAAAAGGAAACCGAAACGAAAAAAGAAACAGAAGCGAACAATGAAAAAAAAAACCGAGCCAAAAAACATAATAAACACTTGGAACGACAAGAGTTTGTTTTGTTTTGTTTTTCTTTCTGTCTTTTTTTTCCCACCTGCGCTTATTGGTGTACCCGTAATCAGAGTTTGATCCGGATCTTTTCTTTTTCTCATCCGTCCTTCCTTCCGTGTACGTTTTTGAGTCTTTTTTCACGTCTGTTTTTTCGTCGTCTGTTCGGCTTCGGTTTTCCGAAACGAAAAAGAAAAGTTCATAGTTCTTTTTTAGAAACAGATTTTTTGAACAATGAAAAAACCACCGAGCCAAAAACATAATAAACACTTGGAACGACAAGAGTTTGTTTTGTTTTGTTTTTCTTTTCTGTTTTTTCCCACCTGCGCTTATTGGTGTACCCGTAATCAGAGTTTGATCCGGATCTTTTCTTTTTCTCATCCGTCCTTCCTTCCGTGTACGTTTTTGAGTCTTTTTTCACGTCTGTTTTTTCGTCGTCTGTTCGGCTTCGGTTTTCTGCGTTTGTTTGTCTCCTCCGTTCATAGTTCTTTTTTAGATCTGATTTTTTTGTCTTCAGTTTACAGACCACCGTGTTATCAGTGTCCGTTTCACCGTTCTCATCTGACCATCTCCTTGCCCCGCCCCCTCCCCCGCTCGATCATTTCCGTCTCACGCTCTCTCCAGCTCGTAGCACTCGGTAGGAACGTGCACCCCTTTTGCGTGATTTTTTCATTTTCTTCTTTCCTAAAATATCTCCATTTGTTTTTAGAATAAAGATAAATAACAATACATATTATGGGTCTTTGAAACCTTGACCTTTAAAATATATACTCACCGTTTCGTCAAAAAAATAAAAAAAGAAATATATACTCACCACTAAATTGTTGGTGTTATTTTAGTTAGAAATACACCATATTATTATTAGAAACTGAGTTAGACGATGGACAAATTAATTAAACCGTAAAATGAAATCTCGAGCCGTTTGTCATATAATATAATCAAAATAAATGTATCCCCAAACTATTCACATATAGATATTAACTCCATCAACACATGCATAATTGAAAACTAAAGTTATGGTATAAAGGAAGAAAACTCTATCTATCAAGGAAAAAACCCTATCGAGGTTGTGATTTAATTTGACACAAAATTATTAGGATAATATTATATTGTTCACTTTAGATAATATTATATTGTTGTATTAATCTATATTATGAACGCCATGACCAGCATAAAATAAATTATAACTTTTGAATTTTAGAGAAAGAGTAAAAAATAAATAAATATGTAACATTGTTATCTTCATTTCCCATTAATGAGCCCATTCGTTTATGATCGTTGCAGCTACCTATGTAGCTGTAAGCTATGACAACCACTAACAACTATACAAATTAAGTCACCACCTTTGTGCAGCAAATTGAAGCGAGGTCGAACATTTAATAGTCTTTCTTCCGTTGCAACGCACGGGCATGTTTGCTAGTTTTTTTTTAATTAAACAAATAACAAATGTAGGTGATTTTTTGGGATGGATTATATTGCTTTTGGTTAAACCACACTTTTATGCACACATTTTTATTGTCATGTTGATGCAACTAAAATTTCACGTCTACTATAACTCGTGAGAAGTTGATGGTGATGCATGCATGAGTGGCGCATGTGAGTAGTGTTATACACAAGGCACAAGCGCTAAGGCTGCCGGTATACCATCTCTGTAGATTCCTTTGTGCCACTCGAAATAATTTAACAGTTATGAGTATTCGAAATATTCTCAAGAAAATACTACTTCACCCGTACAAGTTTATTTATGTGAACCCTATTAAATTGTGTACATTCATCACTGCTTTGTGTATCTCTCACGTGGTCTTTCCTCCCTCCATCCTCTATCTCAGTTTCTCTCTTCCTCATCTAGTTCGTTCGTTCACATGACCCTGAACACCCAAAGCTCAATGTTAACATCCACAAACAATGCACACCAAGTCATGGGGCGTTCACGAAATCACGAGCGCACGCGTGGGATAGCGGCTGTGCGAGGCATCAGCCCTACTCGGGCATGGCCAGTGAGGAGGCGTGTCCGCCAAGTGGCGCATGAGCACGTAGTCGGCGACCGGCACGGCGAACAGTGGCAGCACGAGGCATGGCTGGCCAGGTTTGCAGATGGTGGTGGGCGATGAGGGGGCTACGGCCAGAGATGACGCGTGGCGCAGAGCACGCCGCCGACGAGTGCCCCTGTTTGTGAGCCTTCACGGAGAGGCTGGCGAGACAGCACGACCGCAACTGCTCCGCATGGAGGGGACGATGCAATGTTTGTGAACTCCGTTTCTTTTATATGATTCAAAAAAATCCTCTTCGCTGCTCATTGTCGTTTTAGTACAGTTACCATCTCTTCTTGAATCACGTCGCATTGCCGGCCTCCTGTGTGCTCTCGAGGTCGAGGCAAGACTTTGATTCGGTTCTTATAATCTTATTATAAAGGCATAGGCCTACGCTAATCCGTCACAGACACGAACTTTGAGATTGTAGAGGGGATAGCTGATTATAGTTACATCTTTCTCTCTGTCATGACGCGTGGTTAGAAGTGAGACACGAACGTTGTAGTCACGAACCAAACAAGCGCTTAGTATAAACAAGCGCTTAGTATAATTTTGGCTCACGTATTGTTGTTCTGAACGACGACCCATATTGGAGTAGGACGCGACCTTGTGCGTGTGGGCAGCGCGAGGGAGATTATTTAGAGGCCATTTAGTATTGATATAATAAATGGACTAAAAATTAGAAATTTTGAATCTTTATAAATATTATAGAAGAAGTACAGATAGATAAAAAAACAATTTAGGTAAACAGTGCATGTACTACTGCTTAGCACCACAAAACGAAAAGTATACTATCTATCTGTTCAACTGGTGGATCCTGCGGCGGCTGGCGTTGGCTGCGGCCGCGGATAGACTTCCTCCACGCGGCACGGAGACGGAGAACTCCCTCCGATCTTGACCTTGTTGCAGACAAGCACCGTGTCGGTGCACCGGGAACAGCCCGCCGGCATGGTCACCTGTACGTCCAGCGACGCCTCGCCCCGCTCCAGCTCAGCGCTCAGGCGTTCCCGCAGGAACCTCGGCAGCACCACGTCCTCTCCCCACGCCGTGGCCATGCGCTCCTGCACCTCGTTCTCCTCGGCGCAGAACGGCGGCACGGAGCCCCTGCCCAGGAACGCGTCCCCGTACGACACCACAGCCGTGGATAGCCCCAAGACGCACGTGCTGTCCCACGGGTTGACGTTGCCGGGGTTGACGATGCGGACCGTGAGGTTGAACACTGGTGACAGCGTCGTCGGCACGCCGCCGCTCGTCGCCTCCAGGTTCAGGCCGTCGACGCCGGTCATGGACACCAGGTAATCTGGGTGCCTCATGGGAAGTAAACGCGCGATATGCACCATGAGCCAAACAAAGCCGGCAACCACGAGCACGGCCACGGCGGCGCAAACCAGCATCGCGACCGTTTCCTCGTCGTCCCTGGGTTTTCCTTGTTGTCCCATGGTAGAGAACTAGAGAGGACAATAACGGAGCACTGGCGGCGGCCGGCGTCAAGGTGCTGACTGCTGAGGGAGGATAAAAGAGAGCTACCACGTCAACGTGGTTTCAGATGGCAGCTATGCTTATGCGCGCTTGTCCTCGTATCCTCTGCTACGTGCTATATATAAAAGGAAAAGGATCGGACGCCGCCGCCCGGCCGGTTCGTGTACATCATGGACTCTGTCGCTAGGTGCCCGTGAGCGCGGTGGATTCTGTTTTCGCCGCGTCCAACTTGGATTTAGATTTGCTGTAGAGGAAGGATCTGTCTATATGACATTAAGTTGTTTTAACCCCTCTTAACAACTGAAATTTGCCCAGGTATTTACAACGCTTTTAGCTATATTTATATTGTCCTATTACTATATTTACAATGATTTTATTTTATCAGTGTGATTTATTGGACAAGGTGATGTAATTTCGGGATAACATAAATATATGCCAAATTTTTTTAAAAAACTTACAAATTATTTCTATGAATTTAAGATATCAGATAAATATATGTCAAATTATTCACAAATGTCATCAAATTGTTCATAAATTTCAGAAAAAATTGCAGATCTCTAAGGAAGATAACAACCAAGCACAGGGGCGAGCGCGGAGCTCCGTCCTGACGAACGGAGGCACGAGGGGCCGCGCACCAGCAGCGGTCCGCCCTGGGGGTGGCGGCCGGCCTGGTGGCGACGGTGGCGGAGGGAGCCGGCCTTGGGGCGGCGGCGGCAGAGCAGGGAGCAGCCTGGGGGCGGCGGCGGCGCCCGACCTAGGGGCAGTGGCGGCGGTGGCGGCCGACCTTGGGTTGACAACGTAGCCGCTCACATGCAGGAGGACACACGGCTCTAGCCTGTATTGCTCGCCGTTTGCGGCTCAACAATCAATCCAACGCCAAAGCACGCGCCACGAAACAAATCGGACGGCAAAGCACAAGATAAAACATAGGATTGCTCCATAGCAATTCTGTTTTTAAATTACATCATATCACACATACGCAAATGTTCACAACACATACGCACACTCGGACCCTATGAATGTATGCACCTAAACCTTACCCCTACAAGCTCCTCTAAAGACGGCATTGGTAGTTCTCGAGATTGACAAAGTCACCACAAATGTCTCGTTGTTGATGGAAATATTGCTTACAATTGAAAGTACAACACCGTTATACTCATGGAACAAATCTAGAAAAATAGGAGTGCTCGTACCTATCTAAGGAGTTGAACCCAGTTGGACAAGTTTCACTGCGAAGAACCTAACTAACTGACCTATAATGTAGATGATTTTTATATACCTTGCACATGTACGGGTGAAGGTGTATAGATTGAATTTGCTCGACGCTTCTTGTTAAGGCCGTTGTTGTGGAAAAAAAACTCGATCCGCGGTGGCTAGACAACCTTGGGTATTCCGGCTTAAGAAGAAGATCTTCTCACGTAAATCGAGAAAAACTCCGAACCTCTGCCCCATCTATACACAGCGGCACCGTAGCTCCATGAGATGAACTGACCATAGACCTGTGCTTTGGATGTAGGATAGATAAGGGAGTTTTTTTTTCTCCTTTTATCATTGTGGCCGAAATCACAAATAAATAATGAGTCTCTTGGGACTCAAACTCTAACCACCAAAGAGGTATTGAGCCTGCACCGACGACTCGGTGGCCGTTGTTGTGCAGATGTGTTGGAGGTGGAATTGGCTCAGGCTAATATGTTGTGCGGTATCGAAATTAGGGGTGAAGTACTGTAGTTTATAAGCTTGGATCATTCTTAGAAAAGAACGCCAAAGACCCATGCATAAAAAGACCAGGCACCAGAACTTACTGATTCCTAATTAATTAATCTTATATATTATGACTGAAAATATTAGGACATTTTAGGCGACCGGAAAAATATCAAAACCATATCAGGTTGTTCGTAGTACTGTATATTAACTATACAAAACTTGGAGAGAGAGAACAAGACATTGATCACGTACATGATGCATGTCTCTCATCAGATCTCAAAGGTGCTCTCCATCTCAAGCTGCCCACCCGCGGCTTCCTCTTCATCGTCACCGACGTACAGGTAGGGATTCTTCTCCACGGGCTGGAAGTTGTAGAACACGAACACATAGAAGGCAAGGCTGGCCGTCTCGATGGAGACATTGACGGCCCACTGGTACTTGTAGCTGAGCACGGCGGCGACGGCCGACGCGGCGATCCGCGTGAAGTAGAGGTAGCACACCACCACCAGGTAGAACTGCTTGAAGAGGGTGAGCTTCTGGAGGTTCCGCGCCGCCTTGCCGTCGGTCTTGGACGCCTCCCGCAGGTTGCGGATGGACCAGATGATGGGGAAGAAGACCGCGCAGCAGCAGATGACGTCCACCAGGAGGAAGATCTGGTTCCACGCCAGCCAGTCCCTCCCCGCCGGCCCCGTCTCCCCGATCACCGCCGACGCGATGTTCTCGATCACTTGCAGGGGTATGATGATCATCAGCACGTTCTTCTCGCGCTCCTGCACGCACGCACGTATGATCTATCGTTGGTGATCGTTGCATGCAGATGCAGCACGGATCGATCGGAGGATCAGACGACGACGCATGCATGCTCATGCACCTGGAGGTAAGGTTTCAAGAAGGACCAGCCGGTGCCGATGAGCACGATGACGGTGAAGAGCAGGATGCCCTTGAAGAAGCCGAACACGTAGAAGGCGACGTCCCACCCGTGCGGCGTGCCGGTGCGCTCCACGTACCACTGGTCCTCGGCGGCGCACGCGAGCTTGAGCGCCTTGAACAGCAGCAGCGCGCCCATCACGGCGTGGATACGCTCCGCGGTCCTGCGGTGCTTGACGCAGACCAGCACCCACGTGCCCAGGAACGTGAAGTGCACCGCGGCCGCGGCCGCGAAGATCCACGGCAGCGGCAGCAGGCCCACGGGGAGGTACTCCCGGGCGCCGGAGCGCCGCAGGTTGTACATCTCGGTGCGCACCTCCATGGTGACCTCCACGCCCTCCTGGCAGCTGCTGAACAGCACCGTGTACTGGTCGTCGGAGTCGATGGTCAGGGAGCCCCGCCCCGTGCCGTCGGGCGCCACCTCCTTGAACAGGAAGAGCCGCTGCACGTACTTGCTCGTGAGCGGGCAGAAGGCACCGCCGGTGGCCTCGGCGTAGTCGGACTCATTGTTGATCTTGTAGAAGAGGGAGTTGGAGATGAGGAAGAAGCCCATGAGCGTCGTGTCCACGGCCTGCAGCTGGGAACCCTCGGGGACCCTCCATGAGATGCCGGTGGCTGAGACAGTGGCGTGGCCGCCGCGCCTGAAGCCGAACTCCTCGAACAGGATGACGGAGCGTGAGTCGGAGACAATGGGCGTCGTCTTGATCTCAGCGCGAGCGATAGGGAGGACGGCGGCGAGGAAAACAACGACGGCGAGGACCACGGAGGCGGCCATGAATCTATCGAGCTGCTTGTTGGTCGTCACGTACGTAATGAGTTGGGTTCGCGTCGTCACGCCATTCAATTCGCCCGCGGCCGTGGGTGAGGAAGAATGCCCTTGCCTGCTCTTGGCATAGATAGAATTGTGGCATGCATGAGCTGTGCACGAAGCCACACGAACGGAGAGGGAGGGGCCTGTCGACGAGCATGGCGTGTTTTAGGGATGGCCATGAGAGCCTGGAGAAGATCGCATGCATATGCACCCAGAACTCTAGTAGAACGGATAGACCTCCACTTGTAGCACTTCTCATTTTCAGTGCTCCACTATATCCAACTATATTGAAATCAACAAATTTAGGCCCTGTTTGGATTTTTCTAAACAAAATAAGAACAAGATAGAAAAATGAGAATAATATCCAAACACTTAGGCCCTGCTTGCGAATCAGCTTTTCCGAGTCTCACTTATAAGCTGAGGAGGCTTATCTGATAAATCACAATCTGGAGAATCTGCTATCTGAGTAAAATGGGTGTTTGGCTGTTATGATTATTTCGGGAGATTGTCTGTCTTGAATGTAAAATGACCTATGTGCCCCTGAGGCTGATGTTACCTCTTTTGGTTTGTTATAGTGATCTGAAGGCAATGATGACAATATTTGTAAAATTTGAGATAGAAATATGGTTCCATTAGTCCAAAATAATGCCCATTTGATTAATGTAATTGCTACAAAATACTCAAGTTTCTAACAATGGATCACCCAACCAAAGCAGAAGCAATAGCATCACAGAAAGCGCTCATATCCATATCATCCGCCGAAACAGTACCATCAATTGTAGGAACTTGGGACCCAATACCACTACTATCTTCCACAAAGGTTTCGAAATATTCATCATTTATGGCATTGTCTCTAATGAAATTATGGAGAGCCATGCAAGCAACGATAATCATTGATTGCTTCTCAATTTGATAGCTAGGTAACTGCAAGAGGCCCACTTCATCTTGAGAACTCCAAATGACTGCTCAATCACATTTCAGAGGGATGCATGAGCATAGTTGAACACCTCCTTCGATCCCACTGGATGTCGCCCATATTGCCATTTTGGGCGCATGATACATACCTTTGTCCCTTGTAAGGTGCTAGATATCCTTTTCTATTAGGATACCCGGAATCAACGAGGTAGTACTTGCCTTAGGTGGATGTGGAAATTTATCCTTCTATGTGACTAAAGTATTCAAAAATACCTGAGTGTTATGAGCAGATCCAGCCCAATCCGTGACAACAAATGTGAACCGCATATCAAAGTCACAAACCACCATGACATTTTGTGCATGTTGTAGCACTCGACTTTGTCATTTAGTTGGGTTTCAACCCCCTGGATCCCTGTCATCCTTGGTACAGTTGGAACCATCTCCTTCTTTGCAGCACTAGTACTTGAGCCCATCAATTCCAATGCAATATATGCAACCATGAAATCCTCATCGCTACCCGACTCATCCTGATTTCCATCATTGGAGGTACTCATCTTG